GTCTCTGTCTCTGTCTCCTTTCATCGCCTGATGAAGGTTAATATTCAGGAGGATGCCTATATGTTTTTTTGGGGGGGGGATTCTCCTTCTTATTTAGCTTCTCTAAGAACCCGAATTATAGGCTCAATGTCATTTATTTATGGCTAGAAACCAAATATGAGTGAGTACACTTATCTTTTCAAGGTAGTGCATGTGCGCACCGTTTTCTCACAAAATTAGGTTAGCTTATAGACCATAGTATAGTATACCATTAATCTTTGCAGTGCTGGTGCGGCTTCAGCATGTTTGAGGTCTGGTAGGCAGAGCCCTTTTCCTACTTTGCCAACAGTTCTCTTGTCCTCACAGGTCCAACACCTCCTTTTCAGGGCACTTAACCTCAATATGAAGGAGCCACTCTCATGACCAAACCCAAACCTAATAACATCATCTCGAGAACTATTTGAACACTTGAATAAATACTGGGGACACACAAATGTTCAGTCTGGATCACATCCTAACCTGGAAGGAAAAGAAGAGTCTCATAATATATATGCTGCACATGTGTATATCTGATGTCAATTTCTCATCTTAGCTCATCCTTTTTCTATTAATTCTTCAACTCTTTGATTTTGTTTTGTGGAATCATATATTTTTATTTCCTGAGGGGGTTCCTGGAAGTACCGCAATACCAAAACAATGCGTGGAGTGGACAGAACAAGCTCCTTTTCAAACTCCTGATTACAAAAAATCCATTTAATATATTGTCCTTGGATAGAGGACGTATCAGATATTAAGCTGATAAGAACAGATACTACACTTGATCTTAGCCAAAAGGCCGAGAAGCGATTATATGGAATCATATTTTTAAATGTTGGGAATGTGAGTTCTTCTCCCAGACATTAGTGCAGTTTGATTTTCATGTGTTTTTCCCCATACTGTGGATCTTAAAATATCTTCTTTGCCTGGGCATGATGCTTACACATACATTTGAAAGTCATTAAAGAATATTTGGTCAGGTGTGATGACTCACATCTGTAATTTTAGCACTGTAGATGCACAGATAGAAGTACTGTAAGTCCCAGACCAGCCTGATCTACAAAATGGTACCCTATCTCAAAAAAAGCAAATAGCACTAGCAAGAGCAACTGTAACAACAAAAGCTCCCAAAGCAAAGATTGTTTTAAGGCTATTATTTGCTTTGTCATGATTATCAGTCATGTACTTGGTTTATAGTTTAAAAATATAAATTTATATTAAGTGCAAAGAAGAGGTGTGTTTTGCTGAATTGTTAAGTATAGATTGGATGTCAATATTTTCATTGTTATTTCTGTTAAAATAATAATTCCCTCCCCGCAAATTTCTAAGTCTTAATCTCTGAGATTGTGAATAATTTTCCTTGCATGCCTATAATGATTTATCTTGGTTGCCAACTTGATTACATCCAGAATAAACTAGAAAAACTAAGAAGCTGGGTATAATTGTGAGAGGAATTTTCTTGATTGGATCATTTGAAGTAGGAAGACCACCCTAAATCTGGGCCACATCTTAGGCTAGCAGCACACATAAAAGCCATGGAGGAAGGAAGCTTTCACTTTTGCCTACTTACTTTGACTCTCATTGAAAATTTCATTTATCCTGCTGCTAAGGCATTTTACTCACGGGTGTTAGAACCTAGGTCTTCAGAATTCTGAAATAGACTGAAGACTAATTGAGACATTCGGTCTCATGGATTCAACAACCACAGGATGCTAGGTCTTTTTTTTAACATGGATCAACCATTGCTGGAGTAGCCTTTAAGTCACTCTAGTAAATCCCTTTTAAATATACATACACAAATGCAAACATGTATAGTGTATATTTATATGTCATATGTTATGTATACAATACGTCTTAAGTGCGTTTTATGCTATATATACATATAACACACACGTGTGTGTGTATTAGGTAGGATTACTATTGTTGTGATGAAACACTATGACCAAAAACAAGTTAGGGAGGAAATGCTTTCGTTCTCTTATGCTCCCACATCACTGTTCATCATCAAAGACAGTTAGACCAGGAACCTGGAGTTACAGCTGGTGCAGAGACCATGAAAGAATGCTGCTTACTTCCTTGCTTTTCATGGCTTGCTCAGTGTGCTTTCCTCTAGAAACAGGGACATCAGCCATCATGGACTGGCCCTTCCCCGACCAGTCACCAATTAAGAAAATGCCCTACAGGGTTTAATTTAATGAAGGCATTTTCACAATTAAAGTTCCCTCCCCTCAGCTGCCTCTACATGTGCCAAGCTGACATAAAAAAACTAGCCAAGACAATATACATGCATACATATATAATCACACACACATTTAAATGTAAATGTTAATCCTATTAGTTCTGTTTCTTTAGAGAGCCTTGGTTAAGACAGAAATAAACCAAACAAACCACCAATCCTTAAATTTGTGACTAAACTAAGAATCTCCAGATGGGAAGATTGTCCTGGGTTATCTAGGTGGGCAAAATGTAGTTACAAGTGTCCCTCTGGAACAAGGTGTTGTCAGCAGGGCCACCAAAAGAAAAAGAAGAGCAGAAGCAGAAATATAAGAAATAAGCTTGGCAATACTGTGGTGTTGGGTTTGAAGATGGGGTGTCCCTGAGACAAAAAGCTTCCAGCAGCCCTGCAAGTAGAAAAAGCAAGGAACTAAACAGTTTTATCCAGAGTCTCCAGGGCAGGGGGCTGTAGCCATGTCAAATTAGACTTCTGACATTCAGAACTTTGATATAATAAAAGCACATTTTAAGCTTGTGTGATTTCCTTACAGCATCACTAAGAACCTCATCCATCAGTCTACCACTGACCACTTCACCATTTGGTTTATCCATTTTCATTTGCTGCATAGAACTTCAGTTTTGTTATCCCAGATTTACGTTAAAATCTCAAGAGGCTGTGTATAGTATGTAATAACGCAGGACCACTCTCCTGTCTTTATCTTTCACATGAAGCAGATACCATAGTGATAATTGGTGCTGGAATAAATTCCCTATCCCAGTGCTCAGGTTTACACACTCATGATAAGACAGAGGAGGTCAATCCGTTTTGTCTTCATATGGATCATATAGACTCATACAGCTGACCAAAGCTAATTCGTGTATATGCTGAGGTAAGTCACTTGTGGTTTCATTTGCTCTGCAGAATTGCATAGGTTGCATGCTTTGTGCATTCCTGTCTGAGTAAGTCATGAACAAACTTACTGTTTTGCTGGATAAACTAAGCTTATCACTAGTTTATACCCCAACTCCCAAAACTGTTGAACAAAAGAAAAACCAATGCTGAATTGCAATCTGATTGGAGCTAATGCATAAGAAATTGAACACTACTTAACACTATTGGGATGGGACAGTTTGCTAACTTGTGGTTCGAAGATAGATACCCATTTGGTTTCCTGCTTCTTATGATCTGTTTGATGAAATGAGGATTTTTCAAATGAACAACAATGGTCTTTTTAGATCCTGAGTTCAAAGTCCATGTGTGTGGCTTGTCAAAATTTTGATGAAAGTTTTGTTCAAACAAAATAGGCCATTATCTAATCTGCAAGGAAACTCTGGGGGTGGTAAGAAAAAGCCTTTTCTTCAATAGAGTATTTATTTCTCTTTTGACTCATAAACTGTTTAGTGTACACAGCCCACTCAATCTGGGACAATGTTTGCTCTTAGGGTACTGTTAATGTGAAATGGCAGTAGTAATTCTTTTAATATAGTTCTGATATTGAATAACACACACACTTCAAGACATTGTATTCTTTCCTTTTAGTGTTTATTTACCAAGAAGCACAACTATAGCTAAAAGGACCTTCTTCCAATCCCAAGCCACAGTAAACTGTTTCTAAAGTTTTTTGGGGTCTCCATAGGCCACTCTTCAATGTGCTAGTGGAATCAACTCATTCTTCTTTCTCCTCCTCCTGTTTCTTCCTATCAATCACCACCACTTTTCCGCACTATGGCCCTTGCTTTGTAAATGGTATAAGTTCCTTAGCTAATTGTGCAATCCTCCGATGTCTAGAATAATCTCCGTCAAGTACATCCTGTTCTGACAAGCTTGTGTTCTGTGCAGCAAGGCAGACTGAAGTGGCAACGTCCATCTTAACTCTTCTACTGACCATGTGACCATGCATGGATCTCCCTCCCTAAAAAGTGGTGACAGCATGTGCATGTGGCATAATGTGTGCATTATGACTTTATAATGTGCTGGACAAGTGTAAGGCGGTACCAGTACTTGAGACCTTGGATGCCCTGCTGCAGAGCAATATGAGTCTCCCCATTCTGCCAGTATCAGGGCCTAGTATCTCATGGGGGCAGCAAAAGTTTCTTCATTTACAGCCAGGAGAACAAGGCATCCTTAGAGACGGTGTTTTCCAGATAGATTACTCATTCATTCCACCTTCTCTACTTCCTGCTGTATGCAGAAGCCACCACCCTGGAGATATGACCCCCTGCCTTACCACACAAGGAGCTCTCCTTCTAAAACCACATCTGAAGACACAGGAGAGCAATCCCTCCTATCCAGGTCTGTGCCCACTCATCTCATTGTTCATATAACACACCCGTGGCAAGAGCTTCCTTGTCCCTGTGGCCTCTTATGTGTTCTTATGTCTCATAGATCTCATTGTCAGTGATCCCAGGATGGAGTATGCTCACAGCGATTCTGTATGAGTCCAGGAATTGTTTATAAACAGAGATAGGAATGACATTGTGTTTGTGCAACTCATTTAAAAATGTTATGTATAATTAAGAAATACAGGTCAGTAGATACTCATTTATAATAGTCAAACTTGTAGTCATGTTAGTTAGGTTTTCTAGATGTATAGAGACATATCTTAGATAGATAGGTATTCTTCAAATCTTTCAAAGATTAATAAATTATGGCATTTAAAATGTTTTAAGAACTTAGGATTTTTCATGACAATGAGACTCATCTGCTCCTGGCAGCAGCAATGTACTTCAAGAGGAAGGTGAGCATCGTAGAGGCTCCTAATGGAGGTTGTTAGTCATCTGGGAAAGATACTACTTTTGTCTGGATTGCTTGATGGTATCCTGTACAAACTGGACATGCAGGACTCACAGAAAAATGACTGCTGAAGTGGCCTTAAGAAGGTTAGACAGTTCTTCAGGGTTCCTGCTTCATGAAAGAGTCTGCCAAATATTCTACAGGACACAGAAGAAATGACTGACAAATTGCCAATATAGGCAGAACTGTCTTTGAAATTTCCTGCTTCATGGAAAAGTCTGCTTCCCGCTTCATGGAAAAGTCTGCCAGATACTATCGGACTCTAGGCTGAAGATGGACACCCCAATGTTTTAGAAGAACTTCGGGTGACTGTCCAGGCAGTGAAATGTCTCTGTCAATTCTAGAGTTTTGGAAATTGCTTACAGTGTACTTTCTACTAACTTAGGTAATATTATATCCTTCTGGGTCTTTGATGGTGTTGAAGAATAGATAGTTATAATTATAGTTTTCCTTAGTTAGGATAAAAGATAAAGTAGATATAAATATTGTAACTGTAATTCTTGCTTGATAACTGTTTTGTTACATGTAATTTAACTATGTTAAAGTTAAAACCTTCCTTTTTATTTAGACAGAAAAGGGGAGGTGATGTGGAATTCCCCACTGTATGCTGCGAATATGTTTTATTGCCACTGGTTAATAAAGAAGCTGCTTTAGGCCAATGGTCTACAGAGCTAGTTCCAGGACAGGCTCCAAAGCCACAGAGAAACCCTGTCTCGAAAAAAACAAAAACAAACAAACAAACAAACAAACAAAAAAACAGTAAATCCAGGCAGAAAATCCGAACAGATATAAAGAGAGAGAGT